TCAAAATCTCAGTCCACTCCAGATTCAGAAATTCAAACTGATATACGGAATGTGTTTCTCCATAGTTCACATTGGCATTGTCTGCACAATAAGAAGGCACATAATTTACATCCATGTTGTGCTTTTCAAAGCTCTGCAGCACAAAACCAGTAATTGCCATAGACGTTTCCTCAGCACTTTCAACAAAATCTAGAAGTTTATTCTGCACTCCCTTTAAAGGGTCGAAGTACCGGATCCAAACAGGGAACATTTTTCGATTGCTTCCGTTTGATGCATCGGTAGCCAACGAAAAAAATTTTGAAGTATTTTCTGGACATCTTAAAATAGACACAAAGTCATTTACACTTTTAGGAGCAAGAACGTACTTCACTATCATTCCCACTTTAGTGCGTCCACATTAAAGTTTGGAAGCAATCGCGGAATCACTGAAAATATGGGACACAAGTTTATTTCCGCAGTCCAGACTGGAATAACTTGTGTTTCACTGCATGATAGACTAAACCAAGTTCGCACGCAGTGCTGTTGTCATATTCTTCTTTATTGTTTAAATTAACAAAGTATTTCGAAAGTTTATTTGAACTTCCAGAATTACATTTTTCCTTATTTTTATGTCCCTTATATTGTGCATGTTGCCTCAGGTCACTTTGTCCACCGTGCGAAATGCTAAAATCCTTCCTACACATCGTACAAAATGCCTAGTTTTCGTCTGGTCCCGGCTTAACCCACGAAAACATATCTTCCCATTTCTTCAGATATATTTGATTATGTGTGGCCTGGAATCTCAACTTCTTCCGTGGAGGAGTCTTTGATGGATCTTCTTCGCCCTCAAACATTTTTGCTAACTTGACACTGACTTTCTAGCGAAGATTGAACGGATTAAAAATACAACCTCTGCTTTGGGTTAGAACCTCAAGTGTTGCCAACATTCACGAAATGCAACATAACGAAAGAAACTATAACAATGTCATTTTCAAAGGATTCCAGAAATTTTGTGATAATATTTAACCCATGAAATATAATTCGCAATGGATTTAAATAAAAAAAACGGAGAATTATCCATTCCGGGTAAACAATAAACGGAGGAACAAAATTTGGGCGAAAACACGGAAAAATCCGGGGAAAACGGGATATCTGGGAACCCTAGTTGAGTCAGTCTTGGATTCCCAGAGTCGTGCTGTGGGACTAGGAACCGAGTATGCCTGTACTGGCGAGGACCGACAGCAATTCACCACCCCGTCTAGTCAGTCTTGAGTTATATCGTTATGAACCACGACCTAACTATTAATGAACAAACAGAAGACTTTACATATGCTGTAATTGTAGTGATATATAAATTATGTAAACTAGTGAGAGTGTTGTAGTTATTTGTCGTTGGGAGCTATAAGCGTTCAGTGAATTAAATTATTCAGATCCCGTGTCTAGTCTCTAACACTTGACGGTTTCAATTTTCAGTACTGTAAAACTGTTTAAGGTAATGTTTTTTCTTGGACTGTTGCACATTTATCATCTCCTCTCTGCTTTTACCTACTCTCTGCTTTGGGGCGGTAGCTTGCATTCATCCCTGGTTCCTTTGTCATGTTCACAGTGCTTCCAGATGGAATGGGGTGTCCAAGCTTAAGCCTTCGGCAAGAAAAGGCGGAATCTCAAAATAACAAGTATTTAATAACAATAAAACATAAGTTCGTGACATACATCTCAGAACAATAAGAAACTAATAGTGACTGGCCATTCCTTAACTAATGCAAATATGCATTGCAACAGCAGCAACACTATGCCTTCGACCACCAAAGCAATCACGCGGTGCCGTCTGCTTACCCTAGACCTATAAAATCACCAAAACACACGTAACATTGCGAGACAACCCAGATCACAATATTACCTAATTATATGGTCATAACAGTAACACTGTGTAGGGCAGTGTTTCGCAACCTTTTTCTACTCGTGACACACGATGAAGTATCCATGACTCAACACGGCACACCAAAATGTTATTCCCCTCAAAAACGCATGATATCAGACAATTAAAATAAAGACGTAACGTGATCAACTTATTACTCACTATTGTTATTTTATTATCATTAAACAGAAATCGACTCGTGCGTTTATTAACAATTAATGAACTTTAATTCACTGTAGAGTATCGAAAATACACTTCTATTACTATTAAAGTAAATAATTCTACTCATACCTTCTACGTCATACTTCCGCCTGCTTAACTACACACAGACGACTGATCCGTGATGGAATCGTTGACCATCGTCGACATTTCTTCATCGATGGATTTGAGCCGCTCTGTCTTTGATATCTTAATTTCAGTTAAAGTCGAGGAGCCTAGTTCACACAAATATGTAGCTGAAAATGGCAATACCACATTAACTGCCATATCGGAGATAGCCGGGTATTCACTCATTATTGCCAACCCAAACGTATCCAAAGGCACTTCGAGAAGTTTTAGTTTCAATGTTCTGCCTGCTTTTAAATCTGCGAGTTCCTCTTGTATATTAATTGGAAGATGTTCTGAATTCGCAACGAATGGATCACGAACCCAGTCGAAATCTTGTACACGCTCTCTAAAATACTTATTGAATTTCTACTGCAGCTTTTCGAAATGATCTTTAATTGCGTCCATTACCACTTTATGGCCGTCAGCAAGTGACCATACAGTCGGGAACATCTCAAACGATCCATCTGTAATTCTCTGTATCTACAAATTCAGCTTATTTACAAATCCTTGTATCTTAACCATATTAGAATATTTTCGTTCCTACCTTGCATCTTTCTGTTCAGCTCATTCAAGTGTACGAAAATATTGGAAAGATACGCCAACTTACATACCCATTCATCATCTGCAAATAAATCCGCCTACTCATGCCCCTCAACAGACAAAAATGCACGTACCTCCTCATTAAGTTCAAATATTGGCGTTAANCTTCCATTTTAATTCATTATGTAACACATATTCATTAGTGACACGAAATACTTCTTCACCGGTGGCTCGCTCGGGAAGTTCTTTGCAAAAAAAGAAATTTGTTGCAATTACATCTCCAGCGATGTATCGAATGTAAGCAAGAAGTGACACGAAATACTTCTTCACCGGTGTCTCGTTCGGGAAGTTCTTTGCAAAAAAAAAAGAAATTTGTTGCAATTACATCTCCATCGATGTATCGAATGTAAGCAATAAGTTGTGCGTGATCGCTAGTATCGCTGGACTCGTCGATCTGAAGCGAGAACTTCTGACTGCTGCTGATTTTCTCCTTCATAATGGCTTCAGTATCACTGGACATGTCAATAACTCGGCGACTGATTGTGTCAGCAGAGAGAGGAATTGTTGAAATTTCACTAGCAGTTTCTGAACCCAGGACTATTTTCACCATCTCTTTACAAGCAGGCATTAACAACGTTTTCGCTATTGTGTGTGGTTTTTTTCCCTTTACGATAATTTCGGCTACCTTATAACTTGCTTCCTGTGTTTTTTTCTGAAACACGTACTGTCGCAGTCATTAACGTTTTTTGTTCTTTGTTTTGTTCCAACAAGCGACGAAAATAATTGACACCTTTGCTTGATAGAGAAGGATGTCTTGATGACAACTGTCGTTTCAATTTACTGGGAACCATAGCAGCATTACTGATTTTTTCACCACAAACGACACACTCGGGAATTGGGCACGTAAAATAAATAATTATCACTATACTGCCGGTGTACTAATTTTTGTTTTTTTAAGGATTTTATCCATCTTGAAAAAATAAAGTAGTCTAATAGTAATAGAAAATAGCAAGACTAACTAGCAACCACAATTTTCGAACTACTTCAGAGCACAGCATTGATAGAACTGAAGCAATTGTAAGACGAGAGACCTATACTCTTCAAATGGAAGAAGTGACACATATAACGACTTATTTTTTAAATATTTATAATTTTAAATGAAGTCCAACAATCGGTGGGTGCCTCGTTACAGGAAGAAAGTCATAAAGTTGAAGAAGCTCTGACTTCTAACAAACAGGGACAAATACCAAAACAGCGTTATAAAAGACAGGGAAACCATTGCTAATCCCTGAAAATTTAGGGAAAATCTCGTACACAGAACATGCGACAAGTATATCAAAGAGCCGCGTAGATGCGAGAAAAATAAAAATAAATCAATAATGAAAACTATGATATAACAACAACCGTAAGTAAATAATTTCCGTTTAATTTCTTAGAATACAACATTACTGTATATAAAAAATCACAGCATGTAATAAAGAATAAACAAGCATCATCATATTTAATCAGTGCAGTGGCTGGGAATAAAATACAAGCATATGAAACAAGGTAACTGGGATAAAATAAAACGAATAAAATTCACAATTAATTTCTTACAATAGGTAAAAGTTCGCGTCACACCTTTCACCTTGTGACGGCACACCGGTTGCGGAACACTGGTATAGGGCATTTACAACTCCAAACAAATAATAATTTCACGCCAAACGGAAAAACTCGCCGCAACATCCCCAACGAAAACTTACTTTGTCGTTTCAAGGAGGAGGCCTCTTGCCCTCAACGACCGGAGCGAAGAACGAAATGCAATTTGGAGAGGCCAGATCGAAACGGAATTTTGTGCTGGCGCTACTTCTAAGTCATCCAAGTAGAAGATATGTCTCAGAGTTACTTCATATAGTAAGATTACTTTGAAATGCTTTAAATGTAGTTGTTGGTGATGAAATAGTTTCCTGCTATGTGGGAAGTACTGAGAAACTGTAGCCAGATTGAACTGAGCGCAAATATATTGGTTGGACCAGTTCACATTATAGTGCATTTGAGCATTTGAGCAGATCACAGGAATCATTTTTATAAATGGGATAAGTTTCATTCTTGTAAAAGGGAGTAGGATTGTGAATTTATTCATTGGAAAGTGAGTGAGGGTGTATATTGGATTACAGGTAACCTTTTTACCGACTTATGTCGGTCCTCCGCTGAGGATGCTGCGCGTGCGCGGCTAACAGTGTCAGGCCCTGACCGTGGTATTGTGGTTAGAATGGTCTGCGTGACGTGTCTGTGTGTGTGAGGTTATAGTGATGGTATTATTTGTGTGGAAGATAAGTTAGACCAACAGGCTGATATATATGGCAGATGTCAGTTTTGCGTAGAGTACAGGCATAACGATTTTGTTTAGTACAGCACATGTTAAGTGAAGTATGGCAAACCGTATAATAAATATGTTACTTATCCTCCTGTTACTGCTTGTAAGCAGTATCTCTACTATACGTAGATCAGTAAGTGTAAATTGATATTCATGATTGCTGATTTGTTTCGGCCTAGATCGAAACTGACTTTGTTGCTGGAATGTCACCGTAATCAACACGTGATAATGGATACAGGGACAGAAGAGCTCTGTCCTCTGGGGTGTAACGCCACGTAGTCCGTTGAGATGCGGCCGACATTTCAGAGGAACCTCTCCACCATCTTCACTGTCCTCTCTGAAACGTCGGTTGGCATACAGTGGACTATAGGGCGTTGTGTCCCATAAGATAAAACTATCCATAACCACCGCTGTTGGTGCACATGTATTTTGGCATTTCTTCGTAATTTACAAACTAGTAATTTTATAGCTCTGAGTCATACCTGATGTTCAAGGTAGCCATCATGAGAATCTGGTGGTCCACAAGTGTATACAGCATATAATTTTCATAATGTTAACGTTTTAAATTTGTTTTGTAAATGTAGGTCAATCCTATTGCACTCAGACATGAACCCCCTCCCCCTTTTGGAATCCTGAGGATTGTTACCATATTCAAATAACGATTTTAAGACATTATTATATTTGTTATAAGCAATTATTAGTTAAGCATAATTAATATTTTTTATGTTAACAGGTGCCAGAAAACTTTGCTCGTGCAGGACATACAAACAATTGGGCTGTACTTGTCGATACATCAAGATTTTGGTTTAATTATCGTCATGTGGCCAACGTGTTGTCAATATATCGGAGTGTAAAGCGACTTGGAATTCCTGACAGGTTAGTAAATCTGTAAGATCATTGTCTTCTAGAATATGATACTATGTAATGTACTATTAGGTTCCTGTCTATCAAACTACGAGGGTCGTACTGAAAGGCATGAGCAACAATTTTTTGTAAAGTAACATGCTTTATTACTGACAAACCAAATACAAAACATTAATCTACAGACCTTTCTTTATTTTTCCACATAATCTCCACTTCTTTGTACACATTTCTCCCAGCGTTCTGGGAGTTTGAAAATTCCCCTTCTGTAAAATTCCGTTCCAGCCATCCGAAGACACTGACGCACTGCTTTCTGAATTGCCTCCCTTGTTTCAAAATACTGTCCAAGCAGCTGATCCTTCACAAATCCTTCATTTCAGGCTTGAAGTGGTGAAACCAGCTTTCATCACCTGTCACAATACAGAGCAAAAAATCATCACCTTCGTGTCGATATCTCTACAGCAGTTCTGAGGTGATGGCTTTTCACTGACCTTTGTGGTCTTCAGTCAATAACTGCAGGACCCAACGAGCACAAACTTTCCTAAAGCCCAAGCTTTCAATCATCTCCTGTACTGCACTGTGCCCTGTTCCAAGTTTTCTGACTATTGTGTCCACAGTCACACGCATGTCATCTTGAATGATCTCATCTAGTCATTCCTTGTTGCGTTCAGTTGAGGCTGTTCGAGGACGACCACTCCGAGGCTCATCTTCGATGCTTGTGTTCCCATCTTTAAAATGTTTTACCCATCTTTGAACACTGCTCGCACCCATGCACACACTTCCATAAGCACACTGAAGTCTCTGGTGAATTTCTGCAACAGGGATTTCCTCTTTCACAAGACATTCAATGACAGCACACTGGCGAAACAACATATTGTCGGCCATCTTGTTAGGAGTGATACTGGTCATGTGATGCAAACTATTCACGTCACAAGACCCTCAAGGTTAACACAACAGCTGGTTCCACCTACCACCTTACTCTCTTTTGTCTGCTGTTCCCAGGTTGCATACAAAAAAAGTTGCTCATGACTTTCGGTACGACCTACGTATGTTGTTGTACATCCCAGCAGACCATGATCTTAATATTCACTGCCATGAGAACTCAGCTTGCTGCTCACTTCTGCCTAGTACTAAGGTCAATAAGGGTGGTGCTATACCTCCACTTCCCCATATGTCTTCATGGCATATTGCTTAATTAATTAATTGTATCTGCGTTTTTAATGAAATAATTAATTGCGAAAAATATCTACGTGTAGAGAGGACAGGATTTTCAACTCTTATGATCTGTGAATTGTAACTAATTCATTCCAAACATTATCATCTGTCAGGCTTGCTGATTCGTCAGAAAAATTCAAATGCGCCTCATAGCAAGTAATGCATTGATCACTGTGAAACACAGAGCCATGAACTCATCTAGTTACTAAAAAACCTCCCTTTATAAGTGGGCAAACAACATCCAGCAATAGATGGAATTTATTGTTGTATCCTACAGAGAAAATTGGCCCAAGCCATGACGTCTGCAGAAGCAAGCAGTGGCCACCTAGAGGAATGCAGTTGCAGTGTTGTGTATATTTTGTTCACAGCAAAGTTAATTGTGCACTCTATGAATGTGATGTCACAGGTCTGTGCCTTATCCATGCTTTAAGGGTTGTCACATTAGATTAAATCTCTTAGGATAGTTTCTTGGTATTTTACACCAGTAGGATTCACAGAGCAGACAGGTGAATAGAGGGTGTCCGAACAAAAGATATCCAAAATAAAGTAATTATGTCTCAGAAAGCATTTATTATGTACATTTATGGGTTAAACTATTACAAAGGGAATCTACCAAAGTTTTTTTTTCCCGAGTATGTGACTTTCTCAATAAATTTAAATGTGGGCTTCCTTGGTGGCACGACAAATATCCAAATGATATTCAGCCTTGTTGCACATTGCTTGAAGGTCGTTTATCTTAACATGGTAGACAATGTTCTTCACATAACCCTATAAAAAAATCCACTGGGGCTACATCTGGCAACCTGTGAGGCCAAGCGATCGGTCCACCTCTGCAAATCCATCTCCCAGCCATCTCTGTCCAGATGATTCCTAACATGGTGGCAGAAATGTGGTGGCACCCCATCTTATTGAATGATGTTTGAGGTGGTAACTGGGACAGCACGCACAGCTCCAGCATGTGCGAGTATGATTGTCCAGTCACAGTCTTTTCCAAAAAGAGAAACCATCCACTCAACTTGTTGTGCATTAAGCTGGCCCACACGTTCACTTTGGGGCTGCCTCTTTCCAACTCAGATGTGGATTTTGACTACCCCAAATCCTACAGCTGTACCTGTTTACAGTTCCATTAACATGGAACATTGCCTCATCCGAGAAGCATGCCTGACAGAGGAAATCGGGTGACGCATCAATTCTTTCTAGCATGCCCACAGTGAAGTTTGTTTGTTACTTGGTCACTCGGTTTTAGTGCATGAATCATTTGAATTTTATATGCTCTTAGGTGGTGCCTTTTATGTATTACATCATGCACTGTTGAATGTGGAATTTGTAACTACAAGCTAGCAGCACAAATTGATTTCCACAAACTTCACTGGAATGCCTCTCTAATGCAATTGACATTTTCTTCAGAGGTCCATGTCTTTCCAGAAGATTTTATACTCAACAGTCTACCTGTAGTCCTCAGTTTGTTGCCCCAGAACTGAATGCTTTTCTGTGTAGGAGGTTGACTTCATATTGTGTTCTAAATCGACGCTGGACAGCTGTAAGAGATTGCAACTCTGCTAGCCACAACCCGCATTGAACCTGTTCCTGTAGTGTTGACATCATTACTGAGCTTGCCAAAGGCATTTGCATAAGCCAGGCATGAAAAAGAAACTTTCAGAGTTTTCTTTTCTGATGACATCAACTGAATATGTGTATGACAGTTAGTTTCCAAGATATAAATTTTTTATTTTGAATACCTTTAACCCGGACATCTTGTATAAAAGACACCTGCTATGTTGATTTTTTTATCTTGTAACAGGTTCATACACAAGTCTCCTGCATATAACACATTATAAAAATGACCCTTGTGCAGTGCTGTCATTGACATCTTTTTGCTTTGTGATACTTTGAATTCCATGTTTTTATCAATGATAATTTTAGAGAAGTTTATACTTTTAGAAAAGGAGACATAGTTTTAATTAAACACCTATATTTTAATTTAGACCATTATCTACAAGGATAATTTAAATCTGGTATGGAGATTCTTAATTTGTCATTCGCGAAGTCATTTTAACATACACTGCTGCATAGCATAGGCAGTTAGAAAGGCATCTTTAAATAAAGTAAAAATATTCGTGATCATTTCCGGTCTAGAAACCCCAAAATTAATGGCCGTAGGGATTCGCTGTGCTGACCACGTGACACCCACTATCGCTAAAGTTGGCAACAACTTCCCCGACAAGCAGTGGTCGCTTGTTCAATATAGTTCACTTGCGGACTAAAGCCATGGAGTTTGTTTTATTCGTGATCATTATCTAGTCTCTTTTGAATGCTATATAAGTTATGATGTTCATATGGTATTACTGAATATATTAAGAATCATCCAGTCCTCATCTGATGTTGTTATTGTTACAAATTAAGTTGGTAGAATAAATGGCTGTTACGTTGTTAGTTATTGAAGACTACAAAGACAAAAACAACACCATCCAGTGTGACTATTTAAGTTTTATCACTTGAAAACTCGTCACCCTTACATGTTTCAATCCCTACGGATCATCCTCAGAGGGCATCAATACTTTTTCCGGAAACTATTATTACAATAGGTGTTAAATTATATACATACACATATAATGTCTGAAGTACACAATGTACACAATGTTCAACTTTTCACAGTCACAGCAGCCTTCCTGGTATTAAAATTTTTAAAGTTTTTTAAAAAATTTGTTGTTTAGGATTAAAATTTATAAACCATGCAGGTCCGTGCCAATTCTCCTATTGCCTTTCTTGGAGGTGGCTTATCTTGTGCCTCCTGTCTATCTTGAGAAAGGAGATTCTTGGTATTGTCCATGTTTGTTCGTGGCTTGCTGTGTTGTTTACATTGTTGTAATATTGTAATAGTAATTTCCGGAAAAAGTAAGATGCCCTCTGAGGATGATCCGTGGGGATCGAAACATGTAAGGGTGATGAGTTTTCAAGTGATAAAACTTAAATAGTCATACTGGACGGTGTTGTTTTTGTCTTTGTAATTGTTAGTGAGATGGACCAGAATGAAACAAATCAAATTTATTGAAGACTGTTTCAACTGTTGTACAGTCAAATCATCCTTATGGTAGCAGATGATATGGCATGCAATCCTAGGAACCCACGTCCCGCAACTGTCTTCAACAATGCCAATCAGCACATTAATGTGTATGGAGATGATGTGGAAGTGGATTACAGAGGATATGAAGTAAGTTCATACACTGTTTAGAAATCTGTGAAGTGTGGGTGTGAAAACAAACTAATCAGTACATGTTATGCCGCAAATTTCGAGAATGGAAATTTGAGACATGGCCCAAATGTTATGAGAATTGCAAAAGAGTTTCACATCGATTAGAGCAAGGATGGCAACACACAGGCTGTGGAACTCGGTCAAGAATGTCTTAGTCAGCAGAGGTGCGTAATCGCACAAGCGGGAAGCTCACTTCAGTAGGCCACTGGGGAGAATGAAATTACCAAATACACAGGAATGAGATGCCGCGGATTCATCCGTGAGAATAGAAGTTAATCAATAGAAGATCACCACCCTTAATTAGGGCAGAAGGAGGAGGTAGCTTTCCTTTCGGGGGAGCTGCTGCACCAGCTGTTTTAGAGTATAAAGGTGTGAAAATGGAGGCTCTTTATCTTTTCTGCTGATCAAAATGTAATATTTAGAAAAGTTTGCCTAAGGCCCTGTTTCGGCATGGGTTCAACAAGATGGTGGTTGGTGGCAGTTGCCTGCGTCTCTACTACAAGTAAGTCAATTTGCTCATGCTAGCCATGTATCATAAAACTTTATTGTTGTTTGTTAAACCATTGAAGTGCAATCTCCAGTGTGCCCTGCAAGCATTAGGATAGGATAGGATAGAAACTGTGTAACGAGTGGTAGAGAATGAAGGGAAGAGACAGACTCAAGCCATATGCCCTAGGTGGGAGATCAGAGGGAAAGTGATAACCAGTCAACATCAAGATACTATGTAGACCTGACAGAACGTCGGCAGTCTTATTGCTGTAAATATGTGTGTAAATAGACCAGTGGAATTAGGGTAGGATGTAACACAGAGTTGTGATTTACCTCCACGAACAGAACCCTTCCCAGACCAATCCGGGGCTATCCTAGTCCAGACGAATACAGAACTGACTCCAGGCAGCCAACAGCAGCCGTATGCAACGAAACAGTTGAAGAGCGAGGAGAATCCTAGTTTAGGGAAACTAAATGACACCCCAGTCTTTGGGGGTGTGACTGTTATTGGGTAGAGGCAGGTCCGAACCTTCACACCCGCCCTATGGCATTACAAAGTGGTGACAGCGGTGGGATTAGCCGATGAAGAGATGGCTGACAAAGTAATTTAGTATTTTCTGTAACCACCCCTATCATCATGGCAGTACAGTACATGTTCTCTTTAGCCTACTTGCAGTCATCTTGTCCATGTGACTTTCACCAGAAACAGTGTTGTACACTTAGTGAACTTTTGTGGAGCATTGGACAGGAGGTTGGAGAAAACTGCATAATGAGGAGCTTCATAACTTGTACTCTTCTCCAAGTATAATTAGAATGATGAAGTCAGGGAGGATGAGGTTGGCAGGGCATTAGCACAAATGGGTAGGGAAGATTAATGCACATAGGATATTGGTGGGAGAGCCAGATGGAAAGAGACCACTCGGAAGACCAAGGCATAGGTGGGTGGGTGATAGTGAAATGGATCTTAGAGAGATAGGATGGGATGGTATGGATTGCATTGATCTGGCTCAGGATAGGGACCAATGGAGTGCTCATGTGAACACAGATAGGAACTTTCAGGTTCCATAAAATGCTGGGAAATTCTTGAGTAGCTGCAAAATTGGCGGCTTCTCAAGAAGGGCTCAGCTCCATGAGTGAGTGAGTGAGAGAGAGAGTTCAAAAATTGCGACACTGCCATCAAACTGTTATGGTGTCAGGATGGGGGAGGTGAGGGAGACCTTGGCAGGGTTACATCCCTTTTTTACCATCCTTCCCGTACCATATTAAAACACATACCTCTTGCAACAACAATTGTAGTATTATTATTTAATCATCCTCAGTTATGCATAAATCAACAAGAACTCTTAATAACAGAATCTGAATTTACTGCAGTCACTTCCCCTATCTACAGATACCCTGAAAACCTGGCTATAAGGGCGCGTTTCCACGGGGTGTGACACGCTAGCGTGAGGCAAGTATTCGTGAGTATGACCCATGTGAACGTAGTGTCATGGAAATTCTTATGACGTCACAGGCAAGAGTGAGGGCTCACCCTTCATATCAAACATGTTTGATTTTCAGTCGTGAGTTTGCCTCTACCATGTCTGTACTGGATCGGGTCATAAAATTACGAGAAAGGGAAACTGTGCGGTTTGTGGAATTATGTGCAGATGAACCAGTGCTGTATGATGCAAGCATGGAAAGTTACAGAGACAGAGACGTGAGAATGGCAGCGGCGAAGAGAATTTCCAATGCGCTCGCAATTCCTGGCTTTGGACCGAAGGAGGTGATGGCAAAATTTAAAAACTTGAGGAGTAGTTATTGTCATATATTGTCTCATATTAGTATCTGATTTTGCGACCAGTGGTGAAACGCGTTCCAGAAGGAAATCAAATTGGTCTTCAGACACTCGTAGTAAGTTCTTGAAATCATCTGGGTAACTATTTCTGAGTTCCATGTCAACCAAATTATGTGGCCCTAATTTCCT